TCATTCATAGAGTAAGTATGTAGCCCACTCTTTACGTGTGGGCTACACATAGAGATTTCCATCCAAACTGGAAGAGAAGGCTGAAATATGAGTAACTTCTGTGGTGAGACCTGACAAACACACAGTACTACGGCAATAATCAACACCCACAATCAAAAATCAAATTGATAGTTCATATATTAATATAACATGACGACAATGGCACTGGAATCCACTGAGCTTACTCGCAGAAACACATTATCCCAGTCTCTTCAGGAAATTCCTAAGAGGAGAATCGTATGACATCTCTGAGGAGTACTCCTTAAAACTATCCAAGCCACCGAAATCAAGGAAAGTCTGAGAACCCATCAGAACAAGAGAATAACAAGACATGACAACTACACGCAATATGGAATCCTGAAGGAGAGCAGAAAGGACAGTCGAGAAAACTAAGGAAATCTGAATAATATCCAGATTTCAGTTAGTAATAATATATCAAAATTGCTTCTCCAGTTGAAATGAATTACCATCTTACTAATGGAAGATGTTAATAGAGGGAGCTAGCTGGGAGGTATACAGCAACTCTCCGTATTGTGTTCTTAATTTTTCTGTCGCCCTAAAATTTCTCTGGAAGATAGTCTGTTAAAAAATTTTTAATAAGAACAACAGGGAATAGAGCTAACGAAGAGAGCCCAGAACACACTAATGCTGTCTTTGATAGAGGAGATACTACAAACCAATGTGGAAAGGACAGACCTTTGGATACGTGATTCAGGGACTGCTGCCAATTCACGTGGGAAACTAAGATGAGGTAAAGTCAGATTACGGCTTCACTCCACATACAAGTCACAGTAGGATTAAAATTCAAATTACATAAAAAACAAACCCTGAACATTACTAAGATAAAATCTTAAAGAATATCCTCATGATCTTGGGATAGAAAAGGCATTCTTAGCAGAAGAAAAAAGCATTACCCATTCACTAAAAAACTGATTTACTACACACACAAAAAAAGCTATTTAAAGAAATAAACATAAAAAGACAAATGGCTAACCAGAAGGAATGGCTATCCACCTAAAATGACCCAAAGAATTAATATACAAAATATAAATGAATTCTGGAACTTTAACTAGAAAGCGATAAATCAATACAAAAATGGAGAAAGGATAATAATAGATAAACCTGAACAAATGGAAATGTGCTCGATGTCAGTAACAGTGCACATTTAACACCTGAGACCGCAAGTTCTCCCCACCAGACTGGTAAAAGTTTCCAAGACTGGTAACATTGAATACTGACAGGCTGTACAGGAAAGGGTCTGTAAAGTGGTTTAACCACTCTGAAGGACAATCTGACAAGATCATTTAGTGTGCACATCTTTCCAGCCAAAATATTTACAAACAGAGAAAAAACTAGGGTTTCATCGCCAGTGATATGATCTATTAAATTGTGATACTACCGAAAACTGTGCATTAGGTTAGATCATTGAGATATATATGGATATATACAAAAACAGATAGGTACATAACTTGATGAACTCCATAAACATGCACACAAATATTTTATATATATGAGTGTGTGGACATATATGTATGTATATAAACACGTTTAGACTCTCTCTTTTTTTTTTTAAGAGAGATTTTTTTTAAGGCACCTGCAATTGTCAGAGAGACCAAGAGAGACAGAGAGACAGAAATAGATAGATAGAATATGAGAAATCACTCCAGAGGAGAGGGGGGAATGGCCACAATGCAATCCCTTCTCCATTCTCCTTTTGAGAGTTTAGGCTTGTACGTAAATGCACCCCATGTGAGTTTCAAGCCACTGGGTCCGGGACTCTAACTGCAGTAGGCCATATGGGAGTTCAGCATCTTAACCTCTATATCACCTGCTGGCCTTTTTTTTTTTTTTTTTTTTTACTCATAGATTTTATTATACTATATTAATTATTCTATAACTTTTTTCTATACCAAGGAAAAATATGTCTTGGTGCATATCATGGAAATAGCTCTTAAAAACATTTTTCTTAGTGTAGAAAAAAGTTACAGAGCAATCCATATGCCATAATAAAAATCTTTGACTTGAAAAGAAAGAGTCAAAACATGTTCATGTACATACATATACAGGATTTTAATGCACAGAAAATTCTTGAAGGAGGCATCTCAAACTGAGAAAGAAAATAAGATTGGGGAAAGAGGAGTATTTTTATGTACTACTTATGTCATGAATTTTTTACTTAGTGAAATAAGCAGAAAGAGTTGGAGTTGTGAGAAGGGGCAAAAGTTTTACGTTGAAAGAATTCTCCCAAACAGGTGTGGTGTGCATTTGGGCTGCTGTCAGTGTCTTTCTCTTGCTGCATGGCCCCTGACCTCCAGTCACCCTGACTCTGGTCCCCTGTTGACCTGACGATGGGATGGCATCAGTGATACTGCTAAGCAACACTACTTAAAACAAAAATGACCCCTGGCGGGGCAACCGCACCTGGACTGGGGAAACTAAAAGAGCACCGCCCACGTGAGCTGCCACTCCACACTTAGAGGCTTGTCCAAAGGCAGCCATGTTGGAACAGGCCTGTCTTCTGTGCCTGGCTCAAAGCTGTTGGGACACAGGTCAAAAATATTGAATGGGGGCTAGCTCTGTGGCCTGGTGGATAAGCAGCCAGATCTCAGATGGCCAACCTCACTGTTCGACGTCTGGGTCTGGAGGCTCGAGAAACATGCCAAGCTCAAGTGTGTGTGAACCCAAAATCCCGACAGGAGAGAAAGATGAACGAGAAGGGATTGTGGTGTGTCCATTCCATATGTTTCTAGGTGTGCATTAAGCAAGCTGGCTACATATGGAAAAGCTGTTTTAAACCCTAAATATGAGCCATATGGTGACACAACGGTAACACAATTTGTCCCACACGGGAGGGTCCCAGGTTCATGTCCCATAGCTTCCCTGAGGACACCACTGTGCATATAGAATTCAGGCTGACTGAGGCTGAAGGATCTCAGTGAGATTTCCCCCCATGTTTTTTTCTCTTGTGAACAAGAAATAAACTTTTTCTAAAAATTCTATAGAGGCCAATATTCTGTGGTGGTTAAGGTGCTGGATTCCTACATGGATGACCACAGTAGAGTCCCCGACTCAGCATGCCAGGAGTGTGTGCATGTGTGCCCAAAGTCCCAAGAGAAGAATGCAGGAGAAGGGACTGGGGCATGGCCAACCTCCCTCCCTGCCCCCAGGAGTGATTTTTCACTTTCCCTTTACCTCTCTCTGCCTCTCTCCAATGAGTGCACATGTCCTATAGCCAAAACCTAAATAAATAAATAAATAAATAAATAAATAAATAAATAAATAAATAAATAATAAAAAAAATTCTATGTAGCCTGTGCTCTTTTTCAGGACTGATAGGTAAACTGCCCTATAAATTTAAAATAGTCCATTTTAGTCATCTTTCAAAATATATATAAGCAAAAATAAAACTAAAGTATTTTGAGTGAATAAGCAAGGTATAAAAGCTACTCATCACACAACTATAATAAATTTACGGTTCAAATAAATTGTTTCTATATTTTCCCAAACCACTATGGAAAGTTAAATCAATCATTTTTATATAGCAGAAAACAATGTGGGACTATATAAAAACTGAAAAGAAAAAAAATTTTTTTTCTGAAGTAGCTGTCTTCAAATAAAGAAAAATTCTGCATAATTGAACGATCAGAATTTCTTCCTGAGAAAACCTAATCTTTAGCGTAAATCACAATGGGTAAAAAAGGACTGTTGGAGGATAAAGATGAGATCAAACTTACTAAAATATAGTATGGCTCTGCCTGAAACAGCAAAGAATGGTATCTGCAGTCGTACAAAGGAGAACGCCAATGTGACATAATACAACACAAAAATAAATTGGTGATTCAGCTTTTCTGAACTTACGGTACCAGTAATAGTAACCTCCCAGGCAGACAGTCCCAGCCGGTTACAGAGCAGTACGAAGGATCCAGTCAGTGTGCTCGGGGTGACGCAATGTTCTTAGTCACGCTATGCCACCAGTCCCTTTGGGGGGACTTAGAAATGCATGGCATAGACTCCGTCCCACTGCCGCTCTGTGCTAACAGACCACAGAGACATTTGGGAATCTACTCTTCGTAAACTCCTGCTTCTGGGGAATCCCAGCACAGGAACTCAATGAGCATCTTCAACCTCACCCACCTCCTGAACCAGATCAGAAGGGGGGGGGGGGTGTCTGACATCTAGATATATATGTGCGAGGTTTTTTTTTTTTCCTCTTCTTAGAAATCTTTTTCTTTTTTTCACAAGTTGATTTCTTTTGTGAGAGTGAGAGACAGAGAGAGAGAGAGGAGAGAAGAGAGAGACCAGTACCCTCAGCAGGAGCTCTGCCACGACCCTATACCCCTGTCAGCACCCTGGGTGTCCACACCCGCTGTGTACAGTTCGGCTGGAAGCCACGCGGGATGGGCCATCTGGACCTGCTCTCACTGAAGCAGTCGCACCCCTGCACTCCCCATCTGGCCTGGAAGTCTGGATTCTATGTAACACCTGATGGGAAGGGGAAATGTGTTTGTTAGTTTTTAACTGAATACCATAAGACGTGTCAATTCTTACTTCTGACAAGGAGAAAGGAAATGGCTATTCTCTTCCTTAAAGCAAAAACAGTGAGAAGTCTGAGCACAAGTGGCAAAAAGTTCCTGTCTGTTGTGAAATCTGAAAGAAGGGTAATACGGGGATGGGATCTGCCATACTGCCCTGCGTGTTTCAAATAGTTTTTTGGTTTGTTTTAGGCGAATGCAGGGCACTGTTTGGGAAGCAGCACTGGACAGAAACTGCACTGCCCGGACAGGGAGCCATCAGCCTCTGCACGCCAGGAACGAACTTAGGAAGCTCAGAGCTATGTCGTGCTGATTACAGAAAAATAAGTGCACCTGGCTGCACCTGCTTAAAGGGATGCTGTGTTTCACTACCAACTGGAAGATTTAAGTAAGGATGGAAGGAAAACGGCCCCTCTCGGGCTCCCGTACCTATGTCACTGCCGGATCCCGTCGACAAAGCTGGCATGATGCTGGCTGCTGGCTGCGGGCTAGGACGCTGCTCTCCAGACACTCTGCCTCTGGGAGCCGCAGGGAATTCCTGCAGCTGCGCTGTCTACCGAGCTCGATCACGGTCTCTTACAAGTCGTTTCTAGAAAGAGAAGAAACACTTATGTACAAAAAAAGTTTTCAAAAAGGATATCAATAAATGACAACATTTATTTAGTTCAAAATTCGTATCCTAATACATTCCCAGAATGATCACAAGTCTTCAGGATTATTTCTACAGACCACACGCAAACTTTAAGTCTGAGGGTGCCTAACTTCATCATGAGATTTCTAATGAAAAACATGAATGTTCTTCATGGGTCAGGGCTTCCCGAAAGATTTTTACATTTGGTTTGAGGACAGCTGATTGGATACATGGAGAACTTGAAGAAGCTTTTTTAGGTCCATGCCATCTAAAATTCCTTCCATCTGTCATCATTAGTCTAAGCTGTATTTGTCAATGTACAAAGGAGACCATAGAAACTGTCAGCAACTTCTAACTAGTTATCTTGGTAAACAGCTCATCTTACCATGACAGCTGCGAAGTTCTCTAACTAAGGACTGCAGATGAACTTGAAAAGATTGTTACTGGGACCAGCAGTTAGTGTAATGGCTATGTCACTGGACTCCCATGTTAGTCGACCACGGTTCAAGTCCTGGACCTGGTGGCTTAAATTCACACCGGGTGCATGTGCGTGTGTGTGTGTGTGTGCCCAAGATCCTGAGAGAAGGGACTGCGGCGTGGCCATCCCCTCTGGGAGGGTGATTTCTCGCTTTCTGTCTCTCTGTCTCTCTCTTGTCTTTCTGGCGAACGCACATGCCCTATAGCAAAAACCTCTCAAAAAAAAAAAAAAAAAAAAATTACCAAACCCGAAGAAAAAAAAAAAGATC